ATGCCAAAAGGCATTGTCCAGTGTGTGATCTAGTTCCAGTTTGTGATTTCTGACCTGTTCTAATTGTTGAAGTCACATGTTTTGATCCCCCTCCCTTTCGGAACTGTTTAGAGCTGTTTGAGTTAGATCAACTGCTGTAATAACAGCTGTCCTAATCAGAAATGCTATCACTTATTAATCCTGGCAGTCATTTTTCTTTCAAAAATATTTTCAAAATTTGGCATCTTGGTAGTAGAAGGTAGGAAACTGTTTAGTGAAGTAGCTTAATTGCTGAGTATCAGTTTCCTCATCTGAAAAGTGAGAATTGCAATAAAGGCCTTCCATATAGGGTCATCATGATTTCACAGACACAAAATCTTGTAACATCAGGGTCAGTGGATAGTTGTTGTTGTTGTGTGCTGTCAAGTCGCACCCGACTCACAGCAACCCCTCCTTGGGTTTCCAAGGCAGTATCACTACAGAAGTAGATTGTCCAACCTTCCTTCCATGGAGTGGCTGGTGGGTTTGAACCGCCAGCCTTCTGGTTAGCAGTCAAGTGCCTTAGGCACTATGCTACCAGAGCTCCTCAGCAGATAGTAGCTGTTATTATTACTGTTGTTCAGAGTGGTTCTGTCCGATCAACTTTCCATGTCCTGGAGCTTCCCTCCCCCAATCCCTGCATTCAGAAAAAATCAAGATTAAAAAAAATTGTTAGTGAACAGTTTTCCTGTTCATTCTTTGATTCACCAGAGTGTACTGAGACCAGTCTCAAGGTCATAGAGGTAGGTAAAAGTCAACCCCTACTTTCATATTTTGGAAAGGCCAAAAGGAAAATACCAGAAGAAGGCAAAATTACAACTGAGAGGGATAGGGTTTGCATTACCCCACGATCCCCAGTAACAAACCCAGGAACCAAGGATAGGGAAGGCCTGGTTTATTATTAAAGTTCTCCAAGTATAAAACCACCACCACCCCACCACTACTACGACCACCACCACCCAACCCTGTATAATCTTGCCTCATGACTCAATTGTCAGGAAGAAAGCCCTCTCTTCATTGAGTTTGGGCCCCATGGGAGACAGCCTGAATGTGATAATCCAGGCTTTTAGAAGGTTCCTTATCAGTGTGGAGTTGTTTTGACCATCCATCCTTGATGTTTGTCATGTCAGGAGGCGGGTGAGGAGGTAGGAACTTTTTCTGTGGGGTTGAAAGGATAAGACTGATAGGGAATTTGCCCTATGCCACCCTCAGAGCTTCTGAGCAACCCAGCCACTGTCATCTGGTTGCCTGGATGCCAAGCCTTGAGCTAGGCATGGGAATGTGAAATTCTGGCAGATCCCTTTTCCTCATAGCCAGAGGATTTGGGGCTCTGGACCAGGCTCTGCAGGAAGATCCCATCTGTGAGAAGCCTGTGGTCATGGTCTCCCACATTCTGTTTGCTAAACGGTGTAAGGAAAGGGGAGGTCGGGGACTTTTCATTTTTTCTTTATCTACCAAAACCCTGACCCTTGACCTGAATACCAGAGAAAATTGGCAACAGCCAAGGACCTTTTCCTCACCCACTGAACCCCCTAGAAGAGATTGTGAGAGCTGTGGTTGCTGAGTTGGCTGAAAGGACTGGAAAGATGCAGAACCTGCCCCTTATCTTCCTGACTGGGGGGGGGGCAGCATCCAGAGGCCCACGGGTGGCCTCCGGTTGATCTAACTTGACTGGGCTGTCTTACCATGTTGGCAAAGGGCCTGGGCTGCTGCTTACCTCCCCTGCACCTCCACCCCAGTTGTCTATCAATACTTCCTCCACCATAGTCCCTCCCGCAGAAGCTGTCCCATACTGCCCCAGGCCCAGATCTGTGGCCAGGGGCATTGTGCTATATGAAGTCCCCATAATTAAATGCAAGGGAAGTCTACGTCATTCTTTTGGCAAAACATTTATTGACCATCTACTATGTGCCAGACATGCTATCCTAGTCCTTTGAGGTAAGAGAGCTTGGGTCAGTGAGCTTCCTAAGCAACAAGGCAGGGTTATTTCATTGATTTTTGTTTCATTGGTTTTTGTTTGTAATACATTTTTCTGTTCTTAATGCTTGACATATGAACATTTGCCAAAGGAGTAGAAGTTTTGCTCTATGCAGATTTGGATATTCAATACAGAGTAGCTAAATCTGTGTGAACTCCTATCATATAACCCTGACTCTTTTCATGATAGGGAGCTCTTGTGACGCAGTAGTTAAAGGCATTTGGCTGCTAACTAAAAGGTCAGCAGTTTGAACCCACTAGTCGCTCTGTGGGAGAAAGATGATAAAGATTTACAGCCTTGGAAACTGTGTAGGGCAGTTCTGTTCTTTCCTATAGGTCACTGTGAGTTAGAAGCAACTCGATGGCAGTGGGTTTATTCTTACCTGTCATTTTCCATTCCCTATTATCAATCTGTTTGTTGTTGTTGTTGTTGTTGTTTGCCGTCGAGTCGGACCCGACTCATAGCGACCCCTCCTTGGGTTTCCGAGGCAGTATCACTACAGAAGTAGAGGAAAAACTAAGAAGAAACAAGGAAGAACCCTGTTTTGGAGTAGAACTCTTCTCACTTACCCAGATTAATAAATCATACAATAATTACTTTAGTAAATCAGCCAGGTTCCTGAACAGTATGAATGATGGGCATTTCTTTGTATTTATTTGTATATTAATGCATGCATACCTTGCCACTTTCAAAAAAAAAAAATGTTTGAGTTTAATGAAAATTTTAAAAGTTAAGGAAAAGAGTCTCGGTGAAGGAAAATTAAGAAAAAAGCAGGGCAAGGCTAGTCCCTAAATCCATGCTATACAGCAGTGGTTCTTAAGAGGTTACTTTGTCTGAGGACATTTGCCAAGTATGGAGACATTTTTAGTTGCCATGCCTAAAAGAGGGTACTTTTGGCATCTAGTGGGTAGAGGCCAGGGATGCTCCTAAAAACCCTACAATACACAGGACAGCCCCCTGCAACAAAGAATCTGCCCCAAAGTCACTAGTGTCCAGGTTGAGAATCCTGGTGCACAGTATCTTCGGTGGAGTTTACCACCAATGTGGCTGTGAGCCCCAATGTGCCACTCCCTCAACCCCTGGGAGTTTGGAAGTATGACAGTGGTGTCTTTGGCCTGCAATATGAGGGATAGTCCTTCACAGCAAAGAATTGTTCCACCATTGCCAACAATGGTGCCTGCTGGGAAATGCTGGCCCTGTTCCTAAGAATCCTGGGTATTCCAGGCGAGCCCTGATCCTTGTCTGGGAGCCACTGATGTGGTGGGCAGACTATGTGTTGAAGAGCCCTGCTGCCAGCTAGGGCTAGCAGCTTTAGGACACAGGCCGCAAAAGCCCACCAAGTTCTTTAGTCAATGGCTAGTCTCTTCACAAACCAGAGGGTGTGCTCATCAGTGATGGCGGGGGTGGTGGGGAGTAGGGGATGAGAGCTGCCAGCCCCAGGAATTCTCCCAAGGTTCAGGGTCTGTTTGTAAAGCCTTCAGACAGCATTGTTTTTATTTTAAGTGCACAAGGATTTCTCAGCCAGACGCATTTGACATGCAGATGATCACAGATTTTTAAAGGCTGTTGTCATGGTTTTGTCTCTAAAAGATTGCTATGTGCTGATGAAAGCTTTGAAGTCAGCTCTGGGACCCCAGTCCTGGAGAGCTCAGGATTCTAAATGAGATAAGAAAAGCAATTCTGAGCATTGTCTATCAGTGGTCTAGGCCTTCCAGCCTGGCCTGGTTAACCATTTAGCACCACTCTTGATCTGAGATCTGGAGGCCAGCCTGGGGTTCGCTTGGGATGCTGGTGGAAAGTAGTTGATGTTTTTCTAAAATGTTCATTCCTGGGATGCTAGGCAGCAGGGGGAGAGAATTGAATGATCTGGCATTTTGTGCTCAATCTGTATGAGGGTTTAGGGATCTAATGAATTACTTCTGGAAGAAAGTTCTTAAAGAAGGCAGTGCTTGGCCCTAAAAACTGAATGTCAGTGGTGAGATTTCAGGCCAGGTGACATATATATGGAGTCCCTGAGTGGCACAAACAATTGAATACTTGGCTACTAACTGAAAGATTGGTGGTTCCAATCCAGGGGTGCCTTGGAAAAATGTCACAGCCATTGAAAACCCTGTGCGCAGTTCTACTCCGAAACACATGGGGTCTCTTATGAGTCAGAACCAGCTTGAAGGCAATTGTTTTTTGTTTTAGGGGTTTGGGGGAGCACATTATGAGGGAGACAGAAGCCCTGGTGACAGAATAATTTAAGTGTTGGACTGCTAACTGAAAGGTTGGCAGTTTGAATGTACCAGCTGCTCTGCAGGAGAAAAGACCTGGCAATCTGCTTCTGTAAAGATTATAGCCTAGAAACCGTATAGGGCAGTTGTACTGTGTCCTGTGGGGTCACTGTGAGTCGGCATACAGCAACATGGGAGAGACACTGGTATAGGTGAGGGAGAGGCAGCAGTGGTGGGTTTGGGGGAGATACCCACTAAGTCACATGTCATCGCATGTGAGGCTGGCCCTAGGGAACCTTTGGCATTTGCAGCTTAGCGGCTCTCTTCTGTTACCCCCCATCCCCAATAGTCCTTGAGTCCTAGCCTCTATCTTTCTGATACCATTGAGGACGACTGGGCAGAGCAGCTGCCTCCTCCACCACACTGACGTTCCCCCTTCTAATAGGATTTACTGGGCTGCAGGGGATTGTTTTTGTTTTGCGTTGCTTTGTTTTTAATTAGGGCTTCCATCCAGAGGGTTAAAACTATATTCTGAACCACACAATCTCTGATAAGAAATTGGAGCTCCCTAAAACGTAGGCAGCCTGATTGCAGGGGAGATGGAAGAGATTTCTTGGGCTGTGGATTTACTGAGGACCGCCTGAGAGGAGGCAGATTGGGGGCGGAGAGGTTGGAGCCAGTCGTTAGGGTCTGTGGTTTTGGGGGGAGTGTGTACTTGCATTTGGCTGTGACATTTTAGTGACTTGATTTATCTACCTGGGCTTCATGCAGTCTCCTTTCCTTTGCAGACAGAGATTGCGAAGAGACTGAACACCATTTTAGCACAGATCATGCCTTTCCTGTCACAAGAGGTAAGCCTTTCTTTTACTGTTGCCTTCCTTTTCTTCCCAGACCAGCCCAGTGGCTGGCTGGGTCTTGGGGTAGCCTCAGCCCCCTGCCCATTCATGCTTTGGTATCACCGATTGGAATTGTGAGATCTGGGATATGCAGAGCCTTCTCTAGGCAGTTTTGGGGCAGGGGGCTCATGTCCAAGGTATCATTTGCTCCTGACAGGAAGGTTTCTCTGCTGCCCACCTGAGACCAGAGAAGAGTATCCTGGCCTGCAGCTGGGCTGGTAGTAGGTATGGGTGCCTCTGTGCCCCACTGAAACCAGCATGCTCAGCTTCTGCTTTTCTGTGCCCCAAATTCCCACTCCTGGAAATGTCTAGGAGCAAAGATGGTTGATTAGTGAGGGAAACTAATACCCAAAGGGGAGCCCAGTCCCCAGGTACAGAGTACTCTTGTCAGAGATGTGACCACCTGATACATCACCTTTTAAAAACACCTTCCAAGGGGTTCTCACTTGGGGTGAAGAGGCTGGGTTAGTGGGCAATTTGAAGAAAGTGTCTCCAAGGGGGTGCTTTCGTGCAGGTCAGTCAGGTAGGTCAACCTTAGTGTTTACTGTCCAGGTTGAGCTCACTTCAGCCTGTGCATCAGAGGCTCCAGCCAAGCCCTGCCCTTCCATGCTCTCTAGACGCAGCCCTGTGGTGGCTGGGACCATGTCAGCTCCTTCCAGTCCTAGGCCTCTGAGGCAGAGTAGTGTTTGAATTAATGTGAGAATGGGGATATGGTCATGTCAGTGGACCTTGCAGCCCAGTAGGGGAGACAGCTGTGTACACTGCAGATATGCTTCAAGGCTAAAAAGGATGTAGGCACAACAATTTATGTGCCCTCTATAGAAAGATTTAACAACAACAACAACAAACCCTTCTTCTCCCTCTTCCTCTTTTCCTTCCTTCCTTTTTATCTACAGGCATAAACATTTTTTATCATTTGCTTTCTCTTCATATAGTTAGGTATAGATTAGGTATCTAAAAAGACGTACCCTCCTTTTTTCCCTGAACCATTTGAATGGAAGTTGGAAACATCCTGCTGATTCACTGCTAACACCTTTAGCCGTATCCCTAAGAATGAGGACGCGGTCCTACACAATTCTAGTACTGTTCTCACATTTAGAAAGTAAGTTATCAGTCAGTAACACCATCTAATATTCAGCTCATATTCAAATTCACAAGAAGAAGTTTTTCTGTATGTGTGTGTGTAAGGGAGGTGCTTGGTGAATAGCTCTTTTGCTACTCATCTTTCTCTTGTTGTTGTTGTTACGTGCCGTCGAGTCGGACCAGACTCATAGCGACCCCTCCTTGGGTTTCCGAGGCAGTATCACTACAGAAGTAGGATTGCCCAACCTTCCTTCCGAGGAGTGGCTGGTGGGTTTGAACCGCCAGCCGTCTGGTTAGCAGGCAAGTGTCTTAGCCACTATGCTACCAGAGAAATAATTAGAAAGTTTTGATTACAAAAGTAATACATGCTCATTGACAGAGGTTTAAAGAAGAAAATGCAGATGCCCTGCCACCCTCCCTGTGTCCTGAAGGACCACTGTTCTAGTTTAGGGGTCCTCCTTCTGTCTTTTCTGTGGGGTACTTTGTGACTGCCTGTCCCAAATGGCCTCCCTGTGCTCCACAGCCCACCTGCTGCCTCTCTGTCCAGAAAGGCGGCCACATCTAACCCACGCCCTGTTCCCTCCAGCACCAGCAGCAGGTGGCGCAGGCGGTGGAGCGCGCCAAGCAGGTCACCATGACGGAGCTGAACGCCATCATCGGGGTACGTGGACTCCCCAATCTGCCTCTCACCGTGTGTATAGCCCTTTTATACCTCTCATTTACCATAACCAGAGATTGACCCTGACCTTAGCTGGCCTCAAAGAATGGCAGCACCCGGGCTCCAGCTTCCCCAGACATCTCATGGGTTTGGACCCATCTGGGGCCCTCTTCCCATTGGTTCCCTAGTTACTTCCCAGTCCTCCAATTAAAGCTGTGTCAGACACCTCAAATTGACTCTCACCTCTAAACGCATCAGCTCGTCTTACCCTGGCTTTTGGCATCCTAGCCACTGAGAGGGGTGGGAGCCTGGGCTCACCTTTGTGGCCAAGTGAACTGATCAGAGCGCCTGGCCACCTCCTCATGCTTCCCTGAAGGCTTATCTGCCCTACCGCCTCCCCCCTGGCAAAGGCCTGCCCTTCTTTGGCCACCTGGGATCAGAACTCTCTCTGCTGAACTGTTGATATGGGATGTACTGTGGAGCTTGGGGTGGGGCCTTGCTGTCCTGTGCACTGAGCTGCCTGGCTGAGTCTTCATCACCTGTCCCATGACTTCCAGCTAGAGCACGTTCTGACCTTCTAGTGGTCTCATCTAACCCGGGAACAGGAAAAAATGTCCAAGAGTCCTTTTTGAGGCCCACTTCTGGTCTTACCTACCTCTTGGTGGAAAGGGGAAGCCAAATCTCTCCCCTTTAGTATCCCTATACAGCTTGTATCTTGAGTGAATTTCTTGGGTTCAAATAGCATTTTTCTGCTTCTTTGATATGAGGCTAAGGATATTTAAGATAGGCACCTGAGAAAATAGCAATCTTTTTCAGTGTGACTTTGATCAAGAGTCTTCCCCTTGATCCACGTTTCATCCTACAATGATGTGGACGGGATAAGATGACTGCTTCCCAGTCCACAGATAGTTAGGGCATGATCTTCCAGGGAGCTCCTGAATAATGCAGATTCCAAGGTACACACCCCACTGTTCTTTTCCATAGGTCTAGGGGTGGGACGAGGAATCTGTATTTTGAATTCTTCTAGTTCATTCTGAAGCATGGTCAGGCTTGGGAAGCAGTAGACTGGCTGACTGAGGTCCATTCATTCAGTTTTAACAGTTTGGGGTCCTGCTTGGTCTCCATTTTCTTTTGATTGTTATATGAGGACATCATTTCAAGGTGGAACTGAAGGCCACAGGATTTTTCTTCTGCTTGTGGGATAAATGCTGGGTCTTGGCTCTTCAGTCTAAGGCAGACCTGGAGACTTATGATCCTAAGCTGGTTCTTCCCCGTGTGACCTCAGGCAGGTCCCTTCTCTTCTTCCGGTCTCAGTTTCCGCATCTATAAAAGGAGAGGCTCAGACCAGCTTGTCTCTCTGGGCCCTTCTCACTTCCACTAGAAATGTTGGGACATTGGGGTCAGAGAAACAGTGATGCTTGTGGATACCAACCCCTCGATCGTACCATTGGGGCCCATGATACTCACAGAGTCCTTTGGAAAGCAGCCCTATGGTTCTAGCCTTCCGGTCTGAGCCTGTGATGACAGCTGTCAGACAGAAGCATTTGCCAAGTTTGAATTCTGGCAATGTTGCGGGAAGGGCAGCCCCTACCTCCCGGGGGAAGGGGCGGTACAGCAGAAAGGAGTCTGGAAACTGAAGCACAAGGAAGTATTCCATCTTTGAAGCCACTGAGCTAGAAGGCAGCACCCCTGGAGGGAGAATCATAATATTTTAAAGTCTGAAGGATACTCAGATCGTCTGCTGTTGTGTGCTGGTGAGTCAATTCTGACTCACTGCAATCTTATAGGACAGAGTAGAACTGTCCCATTGAGTTTTCTAGGCTTAAATATTTACAAGAGCAATCTCCAGGTCTTTTCTTCTGCGGAGTGGCTGGTAGGTTCAAACTGCTGACCTTCCGTTTAGCAGCCAAGGGATTAACCACTGTGCCAACAGGCCTTCTTAGAGATCATGTACCTTTGGGTTTTTACCTCAGCACTGTTATTCGGGGATCGTTCTGTGTTATGGGGGCTATCTTATGCATTACAGGATGTTTAGCACCACCCCTGGCCTCCAACCAGTAGATGCTAGTAGCACCCTCATATTCACAGTTATGACAGCCAGAAATGTCCATGGTGGGCAAAATTGCCCCAGGTTGAGAACCACTGATGTAGCGCAGTGCCCTCGTTTTACAGAGAAGGGAGGCACTTTGTGAATGATCCAACAGCTGCTTAGGAGCAAAGCCAAGTTGAGAGTCCAGGGCTGACTTCCACCCCCTCCTATCCCACCCTAGTATGTGACCTATGTCATCTGCCTCAGTGACCATTCATATAGCTCAGTGGCTCTGCTGATAGTGGCAGAAGGGGTAGTTGGGGTAGGACACGCATTGTGAGTTCTGTCCTCTGAAATACTCTTCTTACAGCTCCCTGCCCCAATAGAAATCTTCTTAAGGCTTCCAGGTGGAGCCCCCCGTCCCTGTAGTGGTCAGAATAGAGTCTCTTCTCCCCATCTGGCTCCTTCTTTGGAATAGTTTTTGTCTAACTTTTAAGAAAGGCATGAAAGTGGGGAAGAAGTGCCATTGGTATTAGCACCACTTCCTTTAAGTAGTATTTAGGAAGCTACAAGTTAGGTCAAGGCAGCTCAAGGCAGATATTGGAATTCAATTAAAGCCAACGAGTGGGGCCTGTGACCCCCATTTTCAAGGTAATTGCTTCTCGGGCTGTGAGTGAATGCAGCCGTCTCCCTGTCATTAAGCAGGCAGGCGTCTAATCGCTGTGCCTGACAGAGCCTCACAAGGCAGGAATTACGGACAGCTGAGGCATGCTGGTTCTGGGGAGCCGTGCTTGACTGCACTCCAGCGAGGGAGGCAGCTAACCTAGTCAGGGTGTTCTTTATCTCCTCCTTGAGGAGAGGAGAGAGGAGGGAGCAAGCAGCTGAGCTGTCTTCTGATGGAGAGACAGAGAAGACTGGCAGGAGCTGTGATAGCCCAGGGCTTAAAGAGAAAGGGGAGGAGTGGAGAGCAAGGAAGGGTCCTTAGGAGGTTCTTAGCAGCAACTGGTGACCACCTTGTGGTACTGACTGACTTTTCTGGAAGGGGAAACAGCCAGGCACCCTGATGTGGGCATTAGGAAGACTTTGAGCAAGTCATTTCTCTCCTCTCAGCCTCAGTTTCCCCATTTGTGAAAAGATGGCATGTTGCATATGGCATGCTTGCTCCTATCAGTGGCTTGCAGCTGTCCTAGACATGGAGCTGAGATCTGAGTCCATCCATGTCCCTCTACACTCAGCTCGAAGAGTGAAGTCTGGCATGGGCATGGTTATGTTGTTAGCTGTCCTCAGTGGAGTCAGTCCTGAATGTAATACTGTGCAGTCTTGTGTTGTCCCCATGATTGGTTGAAGATTAGACTATTTTTGTTGATGTTGTTTTTTAAAATAATTTATTGTGTTTTTGGTGAAAATGTACACAGCAAACTAAGTTCCCATTTGACAGTTTCCAGGCAAATTGTTCAGTGACATTAGTTACATGTTTTACATTGTGTCAGTTCTCTTTAACTGCATTCTGGTTATTCCATTTCCAGTACTCTAGTTTCTCTGCCCCCTTATCTTCTTATCTTTGCTTTATGATTAATGGAGTTTTCATTGGCTGATTTTTTTTTGGAAGTAGATCTCCAGGCTTTTCTTCCTAGTCGATCTTAGTCTACAAGCTACTCAGGCCTCCATTGACAGATGGGTAGTAACTGCACTCAAGGTGCATTGGCCAGGAAATGAACCTGGGTCTCTTGCTTGCAAGGCAAGAGTTCTGTCACTGAACCACAACTACCCCTGGGCATGGATAGAGCTTGTGGAATATTTATCACCTGAGCTAGAGTATTTCTGGGGTGTGAGAAAGACCAGGCTTCAAGGTCGGGTTGGTGTGTGGGGAAGGCGGAAGAAGAGGCAGAGGGAGGGAGGCCAGGCTTGCCAACCAAGCCTACCCTACTGCCCTGCTAGTCCACAGAGAACTCGCCCGGTAGGCAAGATGGGTCAAAGACCTATCAGGAATCTACTGTAGGCTGTTCACCCTTCCTTTTTGGATCTAAACTGTTGAGACATTCTCAGAGAGGCAGGAGTTGTGGGGCCCACTGAGATGGGAAATGGAGGTAATCCGCCTAAGCCCCAGTACTTCTTTCCCTTAGAGATCAGCCAGTGTTAATTTTGTGGAGTTAGGACCTGGTCTCTGCTTCCTGTGCTCGGAGTCCTTGGTGGAAATGCTTATACAACTTGACTAAGTTGAACCCAAGTGGTGAGCCTAAGAAGTGAAGCATTAAATCCGCCTGCAAGGGCTGAAAGTGTGATGTGCGTAATCCAATTACGCGTGCTCTGCAAGCAAGATCCTCCCCATTGGCCTGTCCTGTAGATGGTGATGCCTTCTGAGCTCAGGCCATGGGTACTTGGCACACATGTGGAGCACGGGGACACATGTGTGTCCCGTGGACACATTCTTGGACATGCTTGTGCCTGACATGAAGTTTTAAAGAAGGGCACAGTGAGCATTTGTGGGTAGACTTGGTTCCAGATTCTTAACTCCTCTTTTGGGGCTGGCGGGTAGGGGAGAGTTGCCTCTCGTATCATGGAGCCCAGGCATTGGAAGGGATCGTAGAACCGGGAGACGGGCAGTAGCCAAACTGTGAGTTCAGGGCCCTCCTAAGGCTGTGAATTAATTTCACTTCTCCCCGTGGGGAAAGCTCCCCATTTGAAAACAGTCACCCTCCCCCACTCAAATGTCACTGTGTTTCAGCACATCGTCCTCTGAAGCCAGGGGACATGTGGCGGGCATGGCAGCTGTTCGTGATGGGTGAAGAGAAAGGAGCTCAACTTCCCAGGGAATGGAAATGCAGCCTAAGGTGGCAAGGGGTTGCAGCTGGTGACATGGGGACAGCGAATCAGGTGCATCGTTGCTAGCTGTCTCCCTCTGCTCCACCAGGGAGAATACTTTTGTTTCACTCTTCATTGCAACCAAGACTGTTGTTAGCAGACCCTCCAGCCACCCAGCAACTCCTGGTATCTGCTCTCACCTCGAGGAGAAGTCTTGAAGATTGGCTCTTCTGTACCTGCTTCCCCAAACCTGCTGGGCCAGTGCTAACTGGGCCTTCAAACAACCCAAAGCAGACTACAGAGGAATTTCTGACTCTCCAGGTGGATTGTTCTTGTACTTGAGAAACTTTTCACTCTTGCACAGAAGTTTCCTATTCTACCTGACTGGCTAAGGCAGAAGAGCCACAGTCCTGGAAGCCCAACAACAGTGAAAGCCACTGTTTTCTAAGCAGCCAGTGCTGCCTTTGTTCCAAGCTTTTGATGATGGTTCACGGGTTTGTGTATCGTGGAAGCAGGATACCCTGTGGATGAGCCTTGTCTCAACTAACTTATAGCTGCATCTAATTGGTCAAAATCATCTTCAGTTCCTGGGCCTTAGAGCAGAGGCATGGAGCAGGGAGGTACACGGTTGCCTTTGGATAGAGCCACACTACTGTTTTTTTTCCTAGCCTCTTCCTACATACCTTTTCCAACGTTCGTACTTACGCACCCAGCAAACATGTACTGAGCAAATGTGTCAGGCACTGTTCAGGTGCTGGGATGGATAAGACAAGGTCCCTGTCTTCTTGGAGTTTGCCATCTCCAAAGTGTGACATATAAGTTGCCAAGTATCATCTAAGGATGAAAGAGATGAGGGTTATATTTGGAGTCCAGCCTCAGAATTTGCTGATGTTAATGGAGCACTTACTTTGCCTTTATGTGTCATAATGCACGTGATTCTTACACAACCATAAGAGATGGACTCTATTCTGACCTCTGTTTTGCAGATGAGGAGACTAACGCCCAGAGGGGTCAAGTGACTTGTCTAAGGTCTCAGCTGATAGGGCAAAGAGCTGGAAGGCTACCCTAGGCTGTCTGGCTCCAGATTTTGGGTGCTAGAACTCTTAAGACATCACTCCATTCTGACCAAGAAGATGGAGAGGGTTTACCAGAGGAGGTAGCATTTGAATTGGGCAAGGTGTTGAGCTGGGAAAGTTTGGATAGGAGAGGAGACCTTACCTAGTAAGGTAAGAATTAGAGTTCACTTAGGTCTTTCCATGGATATAAATCTTCAGTCAGTTTCTTCTCAAAATGGAATCATTCATGGGAGGAGTAAGCCCTATGGAAGAATCAGTACAAGCTACTTCTTTGGGGTCTTTGAAACCATCTTCCCCCTCCTCTCTCTCTCTCTCCTTTACCTCAAGAGACCTTACTGGCCATGCACTATAGAGTGGATTAAATACTCCAGTCCTTGCTTTTGGGGATTTTACTAAATAGCTAACACTGGCAGCATTGAATGATCCAGAGCAACTGGTTTAAAAGCAAAGGGCCCCTGCCAGACACTCATTTTAAAACTGGGTGTCTCGGTAATATTGTTAGGACCCAGCCACACCAGGGAATACAATAATACGTACATGGTTATTTAAAAGGACAAGTTTATTTCTTTGTGCTGACTACTCTTAAATTAAAATCAAGTTGCATAGCACTATGGTTAACAAAAAAGGCCATTAGTATAGAAATACAGACATTGAAAATTTTTCATAAAAATTGATTAACTAGTTAAAGAGTTCCACAAAGGGAAATCTAGACAGTGGCATCTTCTAGGGTGAAGGGTGATTTTAAAATAATTATGTAATCTATATTTCTTTTTAATAGAATTTTTTATAATGAGCATGTATTATTTTTGTAATAAGATAATTATGTTTTCTTTGCAAAGAAAAGGTGGAAGAGCATAGGTGTGAGGACCTATCAGGGAGGAGCCCAGTTCCTTGGCAGGAGGGTTTGGATTTCTGCACTGGACTCTGAGATGCTGGTTCCAGGGGCCCCTTAGCTTTGTTCCTGCTATGGCAGCTCAGGGAGATGTGGGGGGAGGGGGGTCACACCACTCTGGGACCAGTGTCCATCGTCACTTCTGTAAACTGGCCAGTGACAGGTCTTGAGGGGTACCCAGGGCTGTGGGTTCAGCCTTTTGCCCTAAGCCAGGAAGTGGAGCCTTCTCATGCCAGGAGCATGGATGGCTGGAGCACTCTGGCATGGGGACTGGGTTAGAAGTGTATAGCTCAGATCAGGGAGAGCTTAACTCCTGACTCCAAACACTTCCTAGCTCTTGGACTTACTCTCCCCTCCCACCAGAACTGTAGACATTCCCTGTGTTCTATTGTCTGTTATCAGTTGCCAGAAATCGGTTTCTTAGTGGATAAAACCTTGAAGCTTAACACATCTGTGCTCTGTGCCCCTCTTCCCCCAACCCCTTTCCTGCCGCCACCACTGTTCTTGCTTTGGGGGTTTCCTTAGGATCATTCTTTAGATGAGGTTGGGTGGTTGACAGATCTGAGTTTAAATTCTCATTCACTAGTGGTGGTACCGGGAGCTCTGGTGGTGTAGTGCCTGAGGCAGGTGACTGCTAACCAGAAGTCTGGTGGTTCAAACCCACCAGCCACTCCTCAGAAGGAAGGTGGGGCAATCTACTTCTGTAGTGATACTGCCATGGAAACCCACTATGAGTTGGATCCGACTCAATGGCAGTGAGTTTGGTTTTTGGTGAGTGATGGTACCTGGCCAAGTCCTGGCCGCCCACCCCAGCTCCCTCAGCCTTGGTTTGCTGTCAGTGAAATAGACACAATACCTCTGGTACAGATAACGTTTGGAAAGTACCAAGCCATTTACACAGACCTTCAGTAAACATTGATTCCCATCTCTTGGGCTAGTTGAGAAGTAAGATGTGTGTATGGGCAGATACCAGCATAGCCAAGGACGTAGTCACTCCTAAGGAATACTTCTAATCTTAAGAAATGTGTGGCTGCTGTGTTGCCTGCCCCATGAAGACCATGGATCTTGCCACAGTCTTAGGATGCTAAAGGATCCTGTCCTGGCTGTGGGGGAGAGAGCCAGGGCTGCCCAAGCTAGTTACTTTGGTATGGGAAGGGGAGGGGGAAAGAGAAGCTCCTGAAGTTAGTGTTGGGTTGGGGTGCCTGTGGCTTCTGGAGCCAGGGGAGCAGAGTCCTTGGTTGGGGATAGGGAGGACTTAGGAGGTTTGTTATTACTGCTTTTGATGGTGATACTGAGTTAGGGCATGTAAGGTTTTTAGAACGTTGTAAGCCATCAGTAAACATTAGCTACTATCACGATCCCTTCATGAGCAGTCCTGGGTGCCAGGGGCTGTTACATACAGTGTCTCATAGTAATTCTCTGAGATAGATGCTACTTCCCCCCTTTTACAGATAAAGAAATTTGAGGCCCAAGAAGGTGAAATAACCTGCCCAAGGTCACACAGCTAATAAGAGGCAGAGCTGGGATTTGAATCCTGGTCTGTTTGTTCCAATGCCTCTACCCCGTACTGTGGCTCTGATCTCTATACTGATGCCCAGTGATCTTAGTTCTCATGCCACTGGTCCCCAGCTGTGGCCCATCCTACCTGTGTAAGCCAGGCCTGGAATTTCTCAGAACTGGGGAGTTTGTCCAGGATCTGGCATCTGGGTAGGAGATGCTGGCTGCTAAGTTTTGAAGGCACGTAAGCAGAAGTAAACAAGGTGGCTACTGGAGCTTCAACATGGATCCCCCTGAACTGAAAGGGAGCCCCAATGACCGTGGTTTTGAAATGCATGCACTATTTATCTCGGGCTTGGAAGCATCCATTAAGAAACCTTGTCCTGAAACTCGAGGGTGGAGTATTTGTAGACATAAATCTTGTATCTAAATTGCAGTCCATTAACAGACTGTTCCTACAGCAAGATGGATGTGTGGACTGAGCTGAGGGCAAAAGTTTTGGGGGCTTTTCCCCCTTGTTGCCCACTGCAGGAATGAGGGGGGTGCAGAGCCCCTCCCTCACGAGGCGGCCTGGGCACCTCTCCTGCTCTTTCCCACTAAGCTGTGCTCACGGCCAACTTCATTGCAGCAACAGCAGCTCCAGGCACAGCACCTCTCCCACGCCACGCACGGCCCCCCAGTCCAGCTGCCACCCCACCCGTCGGGCCTCCAGCCTCCAGGGATACCCCCAGTGACGGGGAGCAGCTCAGGGCTGCTGGCACTTGGCGCCCTGGGCAGCCAGGCCCACCTGACAGTGAAGGACGAGAAGAACCATCATGAACTTGACCACAGAGGTGCGGCCCAGGGCTGGGGGTGGGGGCGGGGGTGGAGATGGGGGGACACGGGAACCCTGACTGTAGATCCCACAGTGAGTAGACACAGCAAATATGCCACCCTATGACAGGGAGTTAGCAAAGGACTTAGAGCTATCTACTGAAGCCATGACACGTGGAAGCCAAAGTCCCCCATCCTTCTCCCAGGCCCCCTAGTCTTTAATGTGTACCTGGTGTTCTCTGCCCAGAAGTATTCACCCCAGAGTGCCTTCCCATTTTCCTAGTGACATCCCCACCCCATTCTTCACAGCCCAGTCCCTGTCCCACTCCTTCAAGATGCCTTCCTGGCTAGACTGGAGGCCTTTCTCAAATTCCCATAGGAGTTTAAGAGTCAGATTCCTATGGCTGGGCCCTGTTTTGTTGTCCACTGTGTCCTTTGCTTGGGAAGGGCTTTGTCCTTATGGAAATTATTCGTTCTCTGAATGAATAATGGGATTCAAGGTCCTAGGTGTTTTGTTTAGCATACATACCAACATAGGAGTTTTAGAAAAAGTATACAGTTGGTGCTTTAGTAAAGACTTTTAGTTGACTGCCTCCAAGGGGAGGGAGCAAGCACACTGTAGCAGGGAGATGACTGGAAGACTGGGAATGAGAACTTGGCTTTCCCCCCACCCTTCATCCCAGCCCTTACTACAAGGAACCTGGAAGCTGGCACTGAGGAGAGGCTCAGGGGGTTGGGCGGATCAGGAAAGGAAAGGGCCTGGCTCCTTGGCAGACCCCTTTTCAAAAGGTGCTACCGTGTTTATTTTGCCCTCAGAGAGATTTACAACCCTGTCAAATGCTTTCCAAGCCCCTCTCTGTACCTCACTTTGGGCACTGGGGCCATGGAGTAGCCTCATCCCACCCTGCCCCCAGGGCACTAGCAAGTCTTGGGAATGGGAGGATACATTTCTGTGTCCCTACGTACGACAGTCCCGTGGCAGATGAAGAGGGGCCTCCTTGCAGCAGACAGCCCCATCAGGGAGCTACTGCTTCACTGGTGAATAGTATTCAGAAACTGCAGCTTCCACAGGCTTATTGCTGAAGCAGAGAGTGGTGTTGATTAAAAGTAGTTTTTTAAAAAAAAAACTCAACTAAAATTCCCGTCCCCCTTTCCCCCAGTAAAATTTCTAGCTCCCAGGTCTTACAGGTACTTTACTTTCCACATAACATGTCCCCTCCCAAGCCTGAGGCTTTAAAACACCCGAGTCCATTTGGTGCCTTTTTTGGCATGTCCAGAAGAGCTAGGCCAGAGGCCTCCCCTGCCACCCCCAAGGGACTGACTGGTGGGCAGGGAAAGCACTGGCATCTGGATGGTTAATTTCCAAGCTAAGAAATTTAACTTAATGGGCCTGCCTTGGCTGACCTGCTCGACTCAAGGAGCCCAGCCTGCTGTCCATTTTAAAACCAGTGAACTAGCAAACCACAAAAGCCAGCTGGACCAAGACTGACCTTTTTTTCCTTTCTTTTTTTTTTTGTCTTTTTTGTTTTGGGGGACTTGACCCTCCTCCTGACCTGGCCATTCTTCTCCAAAGAGAGAGAATCAAGCGCGGTAAGTGATGGACACATGTGATGTGTTTTGAGGGGCTGGGAAGAGGAGGGGACCAGGGGCTCCTGACCTGACATCTTGTTCCCAGAATTGCAAAACAGGCTGTGGATTCTCTGTTCTGCTTCGTGGGTGAAAGCTAGGGGGTTGTCATTTGTTTACTCATGCCCAGAACTGGGAGACCTGGCTCCAGTGCTGAGGGCTGGCTGATGCTTTAATCCAGACTGGGGTGGGGGTGGCAGTCACCTGTTGAGAATGACCTTGAGTTGGAGAAAGCCTTTCATCTCTCTTAGGCCTTTGGTACATCATTTGTCAAATGAAGAGCTTGGGCTGAATGAGCCCTAACTCCCTTTTATAGGAGATGTGATTAACCAGAGAGGTCAGCTGGCCAGCCCTGGCTCTGCCAAAGGAGTTTGTGGAGTCACTGGGCTGATCTCAGGGCTTGGGACCCAGATGTTCGATGTCCTGGGCCAAAGTTTTCATTCCACCCCCCAGGTTGCCTCTTCTATGATCCTATATTCTCCTCCATTTCTCCGAATGCCTGAGGTTGCCCCCTGTTCTGGGCTTTAACTCCATTTAAGAAAGTGCTAGCAAGCAAGCATGAAGGCCAGGCCGCCTGCGTGTCTGCCAGTTCCGAGATTTGTTGTAAATCTTTCTGATCACACTGAGGCTCAGAGGTTCTGTTTCAAGTGAATAAGCCTTCTGAATAAGCACAGTGGAGGCTGGATAAAAAAAATCCTCTAGCGATTAGCAAAGCTATTTTATTCCTCATCACCATCCTTGTATCTTGGGCCATCTAATCTGTTAGGATGGCTTTGGTTATTACTTTGTGTTAAGCAGGACTTGGAAGGTCAGGCAGTTAACTAACCATCTCAGCAACCACTTCCTCGGGCAGCTCCCCTCCACCCCAACCTGCTTTTCCTTCCCTTCCCAGCACCCCCACCCAGACTGACTTCTTAAGCCCCCGTTCACAGCGATGCTCATGGCTCCCTTGATTTGCCTGTGTGCTCATAAATGTAGGTTTACATTGAGGACCCAGAAATGGCTAGGCACATAAAAAAAGGAATAATTGGGGATGAAAATCCATTTTGAATGCTTTAGAGGTGATCCTCAAATGGTGGCCTTTTTGAAGAGGTGGTTTGCAGAAGCAACTTTGGACTGGACCCCTCAAAGCTTAGACCTGGCTCTAGCTTTATGGGCCATTGGGTAGCTCCCTTGGTCTCTGAGCCTCAGTTTCTTTAATCGTTGTTAGTTGTACTGGAGTAGATTCTGACTCGTGGTGACCCATATGTGTGAGTAGAACTGCTCTGTAGAGCTTTTGAGGCTGTGGCCAGGCCTGTCTTCCGAGGGACCTCTCTAAACTAAAAAATCAAACTCTGCCATGCAGTTGAGTCCAACTCATCGCTATACTCCTCCTTGGGTTTCTGAGGCGGTATCACTACGGAAGTAGATTGCCCAATCTTCCTTCCAAGGAGTGGCTGGTGGGTTTGAACCACGAGCCTTCTGGTTAGCAGTCAAATGCCTTAGGCACTGCTAGGTGGGTGCAAATCGCCAATCTTTTGACTAGTAGTTGAGCGCGTCACCATTTGCACCACCCAGGGACATTTTTATCTATAACATGGAGTAAATTCCTGCCCAGGCAACCTTTCAGCTTTCTTTGGAAGACTCACTTAGAACAGTATGTGGAGTCCAGGAGATTACACAGTCAGCAGTGACCAACTGCAGAGGGAAAGGGTGTCTGAAGCCCAATACTCTCCCTGTCTTCACCTCATCCTCGTCATCATTTATCTTTGCTCTTGGCTTTGTGCCCCAGTCTCTGAAAATTTTCTGCCAAAAAGAAGCCCACAGAGAGCCCCCGGGAGCTGAGGTCATCACCATGCCACTGTCCCTGGCATCTCTGCATGGCAGACTCTCAGAGCAGGTTCCTGGAGAATCAAATGGGAATGAGTCAGGGTGCCTTCCTGGGTGGGCAGGATAGGAGGGGTGGGTTGGGCAGCTGCAGGGCCAACACCAGGGCCATGTGCTTGTGTCCATGGAGTCAGAGGGGGTGGAGACTAAAATCATCAGCGCTCTGGAAACCAGGTTGTCAACAGATGAGGCCATGGCAGGAAGGACAGGGCTCTCTCAGAGTGGGAGGGGGCTGGTGGAGGGGCTGGAAACCATCCCAGAGGGGTTAGTCTGGAGTCCAATTAGAGGTAGCTTCATTCATATTTCCTTGCCTAGCCGAAGCAATAAAAAATACTTAGTTTTTTGGCTGCCTGCCAGCCAGAGGCGGGCTGGATCGATGCCGCTAAATGCCTGACATAAAATGCCTGACATGACTCTCCGGTAGCTGCGAGGGTTTTCAGCCCGACTGCATGAGAAGAAAGAGCTCGCTGTTCTCTGAGCCGCAGACCAGGTCTCAAGGAGAAACACGAGCAGCCGCACACCCCCGTCTCCGCCCGCCCGAGAGGGCCAGCACAAGGGGCTGGAAGCATTTCTGCTTAGCACGAGGTGGCCGCCACTGTGGGAGGAAATGAAATGAAATGACGGTGATTTTTCTGCCGGCGCTTGTAGCAGCTAATTGAATTGCGGCTGTGCGCACATCACCACGCTCCTGCATGGCTGTGGGGAAGGCTGAGCTGCAGTTCCATTATAACCTCCATTTTTTCTTCAAGGCTTGATAACTCTGCCATTTTAATTTGCTCCAGGCAGAAACTTGGCAGGGAACGTCTGCCCAGAAACCGGCTTAGGAAAGGAAATTAAGTTCTGCAGCCTGTTCCTGCACTGTTCCCTCCAAACACCGCCCCTGCACTGTCCATCCCCATTCCCTTCAAGTGACCCTTGCCCCTGAGGCATCATTAAACAGTTGCTGTCGAATCAGTGCTGACTGTTGGCAACCCCACATGTCTCAGAGTAGAACTGTACTTCGTTGGCTTTTCAGTGGCTGGTTTTTTTGTCAGTAGATTGCCAGGCCTTTCTTCTGAGGTACCTCTGGGTGGACCTGAACTCCTAACCCGTCAGCTACCAGCAAGCATGTTAACTGTTGGCACTACCCAGGAACTCTGGCCTCCAGTAAAATGGGGAGATGTGATAGAAAGGTTCATCCATCCTGCCTTTTGATGCTTTTCCCTTCTGAAGAGATGTCTTCTGTGCCTCTCATTGACCTCATCATGTCACCTCCATACTGTATGGGGACTGTTGCTTGTCTGGCTTTTTTTCTTCCCTACAGCTAGACTGTAAGCTCCTAGAGGTGAGGATTGTCTTGCTTATTCTTCACCATCACCATTCCTGACCCAGGCAGATGCTCAGACAATAGGTGAGGAGGGTATACATTGGGCTCTAACAAAGGAGTGCATCTCCAGAGCATTTTAGACAGAGGCATTGCTTCAGATATGATTCTCCTGGCTCAAGGCTTTGCTGACAAGTGCCCTTGCTGGTAGCTCCTCTCTCCCTGTGCCCAGCCAGGGAGGGAGTGTGTTCTGTCTCTGGCCACGGTGGATCCCACTTTGTGGGACAGCTCTGTTCCCAGGCCTGCCTACTAGAGCTTCTCCTACCTCAGCTGTTTGTCCACCTTCCCTCTTCCCAGGCCTCTAAATCCAAATATTCTCATCCTCGCTGCTTTACAGTTGAAGGAAGAACTCATTAGGCTCTTCTGGGCCTGGAAAACTAGGTTTCCTTGGCTTTGCTTCCTGCTGGGGGACCTGGGTGGGGCATGTTTCCCAACTGCTCAGGACCTCTATATCCTATTGCAACAAAGGGCCTGATTATCCCTGCCCTCATGTATTTTCCATCCTTCAGTGGAAAAGGCTTTGAAATAGGGCATTATGTCTCTTGCAGTTCTGGTGTTTCTCTAATGTTGGCCAAAACCACACAGTGGAGTCGGATGTTCACATGAAACACAAAGCTCCTGATCTACATGTAGAAAGGCCTGGTGGCTTAGTGGCCGTCTGACATTCCTTCCTTATCAGTCACTCCATTCTGCTTGGGTCCAGCAGATGACGTATTGCTCATGGCCCCAGTGTGTGGGCTCAGATCCATCTTTCAAGACTCAGGGCAAATTCCACTTGCCCCTTCTTTGAGCACATGTGTTGGTAGATGAGACAAGTGTGACCCCTGCCGTACTGGGGCCTATTATATCATAGGCCAGGGGCAGATGATTCATCACAAGGCTGAAAAGCACTGGGGATACTCTAATGGCAGCTCCCAGGGGACCTACCTAGTCAGGGGAGTTGAGGAAGGCCCCCCGACAAGGTTATGTTTTGAGCCAAGATCTACAGAATACCTAGGACTTGAGATTTTTCTTTCCTCGTCTGATGGCTGGCACTTAGCTGTGTCTCTTTATGTGTGAAATTGTTATACTTGACAGTAGATTATTGACCTAGAATCCTGTCCTTGCTTCTAGAATAATTCGGTGTCACCCTCGGAAAGCCTCCGGGCCAGTGAGAAGCACCGGGGCTCTACAGACTACAGCCTGGAAGCCAAGAAGCGGAAAGCAGAGGAGAAGGACAGCCTGAGCCGATATGTACGTACTGGGGCACATGCAGGGGGCATGTGCAGGGCCCAAGTTGTGGCCCAATCCCTGTTGGGACTGGACTGGGCAGTGAGTCAGAGAGGTGAAGCATAGGTAGGGTCACAAGAAGTGGCCCTGTTGAGGAGGACTGACGGGCCTTAGGAGGCTTGTCCCCATACTGTGGGGATGTGAGCCACACTGTGGCAGGGATTGGACTGGGGTTGACACCATCTCCACGGGGCATGGGAAGAGCAGTGTGCTCCTTCCACAGATAGGCCAGCAATCCCAGGCTGCTACTACAGCCGTCCAAACACCCTAGTCTGCTCCAGTCGCCATTCCTGGTGCCCCACACTTTGTCTACATCCCTAACTACCTGCCCTTGGCTCTGTACACCCACTCAGCCACTCTGACCCCACAACAATGGCTTTAACAGACTTTCACATGTACTGTGATACCCCCCTGCAAGGCCTCAGTGAGTAATCATTGCATCTGCTCTGTGCCTATCGGGGCAGCAGTGAGAACTGAGACAGAGGGAAAGGGAGGGGCAGTGTGGTGCTTGGGGAGTCGCCCACGTAGACCCGGTGGTCTCTCACATCAAGCCCTTCTGGGTCACTCAGCTGCTCTGTGGCTTTGAACTATTGCACACTGAAGCCTCAACTGCATAGTTGTGAGATGAGGCTAATTGCCCACCCCACCAGCTAAATGAGAATTGCACACTTGCTTGTGAATGATGACAGATACTAAATGAGCTGAAAAGAGGTTTCCGACTTCCAAGAGAAAAGTTAAAGGGCAGACTGTGTGGTTGAGGGGGTGCCTAGAAATATGATACTGGAGCATGTGTCCTGTGAGGCTGTCCAGTGGGTGTGGGAGCAGAGTAACCCAGAGCTGGAGCCTGGTTAGCAGCCCTCTCTGGCTGGAGGGAGGCTGACTTTAAGCTGAATTGGTGCTCATAGGAGGGTGGAGGGGTGGAGTTAGAAAGGACATGGACTTTGGGGTTTGGCCTAGATTCAAATCCTGGCTTTACCACTTACTGCCTAGAGGAAAGAGAGGGTAGTTCAGGCTCAGTGTGGGAGGGAAGGGTGTGGCCTCTCATTGGCCAGTTGGCTTCTCTCTCGGTTGCAGGACAGTGATGGGGACAAGAGTGACGATCTGGTGGTGGATGTTTCCAATGAGGTAAGGGCAGGCTGGGTTACAGAAAGGCTCTTGGTTTGGGATAATTCATCCCCAGAGTGGGTGCTGTTGTGTCTCAGCTCCTGCCTCCGTGTTACCAGCAGCCTGAGCATGGTGACGAGGCCTCTGGTGTCTGGGCATCGCCTGTCAGAAGGCGCACTGCAGAGCAGGGCTTTACTGCGTGGCAGCTGGGCATTCTTAGCATTGAGGAGTCCCTAAGATGCCTTTCCAGAGAGACCCTTACAGATCCCAGGGTGGGGTACACCTCTGGTTCCCATGCTGCTCCAGGGTTTCTTTGCTCTCTTTCCTTCCTGGAACCTGGAGGTGGGATTTGTGAGTCATGGTGATCTGCCTCAATAGGACAGGAAGTGCTAGAGAGAATCTGTGCTAAGCCTAAAAGCCCAGCTACTTGGACTTGAGTCCTGGCTGCTTTAAAGTTACAGTCTTGAGCAGATCACTCTTGCCCACCTCAGGCCTCAGTCTCCCCATCTATGGAATGAAGGGATCAGACAAGATCATTAAGAACCAGTTGGTCCCCTGTTAGGGCTGCCAGTCTTTTAGCCAAGCCTCTTCTCCCCATTCCCCGAGTCTACTTTCTTCCCGTTCCCAGAGCAGGGAAGAGGCTAGTCTAGTTGTTGGCTTCCAGTACATGTCAGCATCACTTGTGTTTTCAGGATCCCACAACGCCCCGGGTCAGCCCTGCACACTCCCCTCCTGAAAATGGGCTGGACAAGGCCCGTGGCCTGAAGAAAGATGCCCCCACCAGCCCCGCCTCCGTGGCTTCTTCCAGCAGCACACCTTCCTCCAAGACCAAAGACCTTGGTCATGTATGTGAGGTCTGCCCCTGGAGCTGTGGAGGCTGGGGGAAGGCACGGGCAGAGAGATTTTTCCTCTTCAGAAAGTGCCTCAAGGTCTTGTTAGGGGCAGGATGGGGGAGAGGTAGAAGGAACTTTGAGGGGAGGCCAGTGCTTATTAGAGGGCAGAAGGGTGGAGTATAAAGAATATAAAGCTGGACTGTGACCCAGGTTCAAATCCTGGCCTTACCACTTAGGTGGCTGGGTCCTGTGGTATTGTTGAATGCTGTCAAATTGATTCCAACTCAGAGCAGTTCTGTAGGACAGAGTTGAACTGCCTCACAGGGTTTCCTAGGCTGTAGTCTTACAGGGGAAGATGGCCCTGGAGTCTGTGGGTGGGTTTGGCCCACCTTTCAGTTAGCAGCCCAGTGCTTAACCATTGTACCACCAGAGCTCCTTAAAGCCCTATGCTAGTTACAGTGGTTCAGCATTTCTGAGCCTTGGTTTCTGCATCTGTATAATAAGATCACAGTCCCTGCTAGACAAGCTTGGGCAAGGATCAGGAGGCTACTCAGCAGAAGGTTCCTAACTGGGCTGGCACTGGGCTTCGTGTGGCGACTGATACTAGGTCAGTGCGCAGCGCTTGGGAGAAAGGAATCTTTACAGCCTTGGTCTCTGCAACTTCTCTATTCAGAATGACAAATCCTCCACCCCTGGGCTGAAGTCCAACACACCAACTCCAAGGAATGATGCCCCGACTCCCGGCACCAGCACGACCCCAGGGCTCCGGTCAATGCCTGGCAAACCTCCCGGCATGGACCCGCTAGGTATAATGGGTAGGCATGATGGGATTGGTTGAGGGGAGAGGGTCTGCCTCAGCTGGGATGGCGGGACCACATGAACTGGCCACATCACCAGGGAGTATGACTGAGCTGGGTCCTTCCCAGAGCCTGCCTCCTCACAATGTGTTTTGAGGAAAAGAGATGAATGAGTGATGCTTTGACACTGTGGACAGGCAAATAGAGAGCACATCAGACAGGTCAGGATGCTGTGTTCTGTCCCTGGCTCTGTCAGAGTTATGTGATGCTTAGGACAAACCAAAGCCCTTCTCTAGGCCTCTGCCCTGCTCTGTAAAAAGAGGTGGCCCTGTTTCCCAGCCCTAAACTTCTTGAGTCAGGAATCCCAGTAGAGAAGGTTCAGTCAGAGGACACTTCTTGGAACTGGCAGCTTTAGAATGCAGGAAAGACTAATGCTGGGTGGGGAGGGGCACTGGCTTTGCCATGGATGGAGGGGCAGGGCCCACTCCCGCTGACGCCCACCTCCCCACAGCCTCTGCCCTGCGCACGCCCATCTCCATCACCAGCTCCTATGCGGCGCCCTTTGCCATGATGAGCCACCATGAGATGAACGGGTCTCTCACCAGCCCTGGTGCTTACGCCAGCCTCCACAACATCCCCCCCCAGATGAGTGCAGCCGCCGCCGCCGCAGCTGCCGCCTATGGCCGATCGCCAATGGTGAGCTTTGGAGCTGTACGTAGACCTTTTAGCTCCTTTTTCTTGGGACTGGGCAATGAACAGGGTGTTGGTGGAGTCTGGGTGGCACTTTCTGCGCTAAAAGGGACCCTCAGGGTGTTGCAACCAGGGGAGTATTGGAGAACCAGTGGGATGTAGCTTAATGACACATACTGGGCCAGGCAGATCTGGGTTCCACTCCCAGCTTGCCTTCTTGTAGCCATGGGACCTCTGCCTGCCTCTTTCTAGTCTGGGAGGTGGGGCTTTCCCCCACCTTCCTTTCCTTGCTTTTATGGGGCACAAGTCCCAAGATGAGTGAAGTGACCTCAACAGAACAGGTGTTTGGTAAATGGGGCTAGTTGTCATAATAATTATTTACTATTATTGTAAACGGTTAGGACTTGGGCTGGCAGAGAGAGGGATCCTTTTTCAGGAGAGAGTTCCTTTATTTCTTTACCTGAGATGTCCAGTCACCATGTGAAAGGCCCTCTGGGATATCTAGGGAGGGAAGGCTGGGGATAGTGCCGACTCTGCCTTGTAGAATGGGGAGAACTAGGGTGGGGTTGGGGGATATTGATTTGGAGTTGGGATTCAGGACTCTCACCCCAGCCCTGCCACTGTCCTGAGCAAGATACTTGCCCTGCCAGGCCTTTGACAAAATCAATTGGGCTCTACTCTGCTGTCTCCCAGATTCCTCCATGGCAGAGCTATGGGGCCAGGCTGAGGGGTGAAGGAGGTGGGGTGGGGGGAGGATACAGTGGCATCCCTGGGTAAGGGCTGGCCTTGTCTTGCTTTACAGGTTGGTTTTGAACCCCACCCCCCCATGCGGGCCACGGGCCTGCCCTCAAGCCTTGCCTCCATTCCTGGTGGAAAACCGTAAGCTTTGAGTATACTTTTTGCATGCTTCATGGGGAGGGCACAGGAAAGCACATACCCTGACCCCTCCAGCCACAGGTTTGCCCTGGTGGACTTGCCGTTGGGCAAGGTGTCTGCCCCTCTGAGACACTAACAGGCCAGGTTCCAGCCCCAGGAAACCACTACCTAGCTACACTGTTGATCAGCTCAGGGGCTCCTTCACAAAGGGGACCCAAAGGGGTTTGGAGAGGGTATGGTCTTGAAGTCCTCACTTGGGCTGCAGCAGAGGAGTATTTCAGATGCTGGGTGCCTTTGAAGCCCCATCACATAGCTACTGCAGGCCTGGTCTCCTCCTTTTCCAACTGTCAGAAATGCCCCAGCACTGCTGGTCTTGGGTACTTCCTTCCCTGGAGAACATGCTCCCTCCTTTGCCCTTCCCCTTCTTGGTTGTCATGAAGGTTAAAGATTGAATAGCCATAGAACACTAAGAACAGTGCCTGACACTTACACATAATAAATTGTCATCAATGAGAATGTTGATGTTATTCCAAAGGACACCACCAGTAGTAGCCTAAAAGAGCAGACAGGCCAAGCTTTCAACCCCCCAATTTTGATACATGTACTCCTATTCATTTTTGGAGTGGCAAGAAGCCTTCTCTCTGTAATACCATTGGCTGCTGTAGGTATCAGAGTTGGCTCTGGACCCTCAGTGGGAAAGGTAGCTCTGAAGACAGGTGTAGCATCAATGGGGCTTCACTGGCAGAATTAGTGACCAGAGCTGTAACCCCCCAAAGCAAGTTCCCCTGCTGTGGGCAAGGACCATGGCTGGCTTCTTGACTGCTGCATTGATTGAAGGCTTTCTTGGCTCAGCCACTGTCTGTACAGACCCCTAGGCATGCAGGGCAATAGCTCTAATGGGAGGTTGTAGGAGATGAGGTTATTGCCAAGTGCCTGATTGGCTCCTCTTGAGGCCACACAGCCCGTAGAGGTGCTTATATATGGACATTAGATTTCCTATTAGCAGTGAGATTTCTGTGCTCTTTTGTGAAAAATTGAAGATCTGGCTTTCCTGGTCCATATCTGACTCTACACAGCTAGGGCAGAGTTACAGCTGCCCTTTAAGACATGACATGAGAGAGAACCCCCCCCACACACACACACACAGAGACACTCCCCATCTTGTCCTAAGGCACAGGATCAAGTGCTATTGACCTTGCACCTGCTCTGTAGCTTTTCTTACACAAATACCTTCCCCCACATCTGTCAAAGGTAGGAGCACAAAGGCCTACACATTCAGTCCTCTTACCTGCCAGGCACTGGATTTGAACTTACGGTTTCCTGTAATACAAGGTCAGGACAGAACCTAGAGAACTGAGAGCTGATTTCTCTATAGGATTGTTCTAGTTGAGGTAGGAGGAGAGGCTGAAAGGAGGAGATGGCGTTTAAGCTGGGCCTTTTCTCACATTGTTTGTAGATTGTGTGACAGAGGTAGATGTGAGGAAGGGATTTGTAAGAGCAAGGATGGACAGATGGGAGCAAAAGTCAAGGTTGGAATGTAAGGTGGTCCTCACCCTGGTGGAGCCAGGCCAAGGGGTTAGGGCTTTTGGGTGGGCAGTAAGGAGCCATCACTGGCTCTAAGCCAGGGAATGATCTGTACAGAGCTGTGTTTCACTAATATTCCCAAAGAGGGAAGTCTACAGGCAAGGAGGCCAGTTTGTGAGGGGTGCAGGTTGAACTGGGCAGGAACTATGGGGCCTGCTGCAAGAGGCTGGAGATGGCAGCATGATGATTCTCAACCTTACAGAGCGTACTCTTTTCACGTGAGTGCTGATGGACAGATGCAGCCCGTGCCCTTCCCCCACGATGCCCTGGCAGGCCCCGGCATCCCAAGGCACGCCCGCCAGATCAACACCCTGAGCCACGGGGAGGTGGTGTGCGCCGTGACCATCAGCAACCCCACGCGGCATGTCTATACAGGTGGCAAGGGTTGCGTAAAGATCTGGGACATCAGCCAGCCAGGCAGCAAGAGCCCCATCTCCCAGCTGGACTGCCTGGTGAGCATCCCAGGGCTGTGGCACCCCCTAAAGCTGGTGTAGGAGAGTAGGGAGTCCTGGGCCTGAGGGGAGAGCCTCATAGACTGATCTGGCTCAGCCCCATGTTGGCTGGGCAACTTAGGGCAAGCTGGCTGACCTCTTGGAGTTTGGTCATCTGTAGATGGGGGTAATACTGACTTCCTGGAATCTGTGAGAAATGTATGAAAGGTGAAAGGATGTGAGTGAGGAATGGGAAGGTCTGGCAGCTTCTGTGAGCAAGGGTGGTGAGGGTGCCCCATGTTCCCAGGCAGGCAGTGGGCAATGCTTACCACTGCCCCTTCTCCCTCCAGAATAGGGACAACTACATCCGCTCCTGCAAACTGCTCCCTGATGGGCGCACGCTCATCGTAGGCGGTGAGGCCAGCACGCTCACCATCTGGGACCTGGCCTCGCCCACTCCCCGCATCAAAGCCGAGCTGACGTCCTCAGCTCCTGCCTGTTATGCCCTGGCCATCAGCCCCGACGCCAAAGTCTGCTTCTCCTGCTGCAGCGATGGGAACATTGCAGTCTGGGACTTGCACAACCAGACCCTGGTCAGGTGAGGCAGGCAAGTGGGTGTGTGGGTACCTTGTCTTCAACAGACAGCAGCCCTGCTTGGCATTATTTTCTGTGGCCATGGTCCTGTCTGAGATGCTGTGGGGTGTCCAGGAAAGTGAGAATGAAGGGCTTGCCAAGTGAGACAACATCTCAGCTAGCCTTTGCAAGGGGGCAGGTATATGCCAGGTATTCCATGTGGGCAGAAGAGGAAGGGCTGCTTGTGCCTGAGAGCTTGGAGGAGGCTTTGGGAAGAAGGTGGAGTTGGAGCGAGTCTGGAAAGCTGTCATGCAGGTAGCAAAGACAACAGAAAGTGGGAGAACTGTGACTTTGTACATGCCACTTAACTTCTCGTTTCTGTTTTATGAAGTGGGGACAGTACAGCATCTTTCTCAGGGCTAGACCACAGGACAAAAGTAGCAGCAGTGTCTTGCACAAAGTAAGCCCATTGCCATATCAGCTGATTTAGGCATGTCACTGGTCTCGGCCAAGTAGTTCTTTTTTTTTTAGGATTTGGGTGAAGATTTACAGAGTAAATTCACTTTTCATACAGCAGTTCACATATACTTTGTCTCATGTCATTGACC